ATAAAGTCGTCTCAGCAGATACAGTGTGGTAGGCCTGAGTGACCCTGAGAACTGTGACTCTTTGTGCTCTGGTCAGGGCACTATGGCATTTAGCGATCTTGGTGGCATGTTCGGCTAAGGTTGGAGACAGTGTAATACTATTTAATTTTACTTATAAGTGTTGCAAATAATTGTAATAATCTTTAATTTTAGTGAATCATTTCTAGCCGTTCATTATTCAATATTCTTTAGCTATATAATAATATTGTTAATATTCTCGTAAATTCACGAATATGTATTATCCAACTTGTTATACAACAGGTTTTGTTGAATAAATTAGTTTTACAATATTATTGTATGATTATACTACAGTTTATAATATATAGACAATAGAGATCAGTTGAATGATGAGTGGCTCAAATGGCTCATTTGAGCCAATAAAATTTAATTCGTTTTGAATACAGTACATCTGCATCAAAATGAAAAATGGTACGTTTTTCCGACAGACCGTTTATGCCAAATTTACCTGCGTATATAATAATTTGTACAATGATTTTATATGATAATACCAATAAATTTGTATTTGTATTTTTAATGTTGTAATAGTCATAATAAATTTTAATATTACAATTTATAGTTAATACATACACTTTCTTTTTTTTTTAGAAATTACAATAAATTAATAGATTTCTACAAACACAATATTTTCAAAATAAGTCACTTATTATCAATAATACAATATTTTTTCTTTTTAATTGTCAATCACGCTATTATTTTTTTTTTAATTATGTCGTTATAACTCATAAACGGTAAATTTGATATTAGTGTTATGCATAATTTAAAAATACAAAATGTCTAAACAAATATTCTTTCTTCGAATCTGTGTTCAAAAGTGGGGTTCCTATTTTAAAACCAAAAGTATATACTTATTAAAGGTGGAGGTAAAAATTGAAAATTGTTTTAAAATATACACAAAAAAGGAATAAGAGTCACTGAAAATCCTAAACGAGAATATTACCGGTTCATGGTAAAAAAATCATGCCGTATATGAAAAAGTCTATTATGGCTATAACGAATTATAGGCAATTTTCTTAATTTGCTCATACATACAAATATTTTATTTATTCTTTAATGCATTCCTATTATGCTAAATACTCGCATATAGATTTTCTTAATTAAAAGAAAAAGAAAACAATTTACGCAGTATTAGTAATTATCGCATTTTAAAGGTGCGACGCCGCCGAGCGAATCTTGGGATTAAACTTGAATGGAAATTTACATTATTTCTTTTCGGTTTTTTATTTTTATCTTCTTCATCTGGGTCACTTCAAATATGATTTTTTAAATTAGGTATTTACCAAATGCTTACAATAATAATTTTTACTGAATTAACCATCCGTAAAATAGTCACGCGAATCATTTGGAAAATATTTTTATTTCCATGATGAATACAAAAAGAAAATAAACATTGATCATTGTATAAATAACACTTTTCATTGTTTGGAATTAAAAAAAAAAAACAGTATAAAAAATTATAATATTGACAATCGATGAAATTTATGTTGAATGTAGAATTGCTATGTTTAATGTTCACATGTTTGTACGCATGGTTTTTTGTTACATTTTAGATATGCATAAGTATGGATATATGTATAATTGAATCTTAAGCACCCGAATATGGGGGTGAACATATTAAAGCAATTTTGTTAAATTTGTCAAAGTTAATGAATATAATTTGTTATAATTTGAGTATTTTTTTTTTTTTTCATATTGACAAAATAAGTTTATTTTATTTTGTTATACTTCTTGGGGGATTAATACGGGACATACATGAAGCCACGGAATAAAACGAGTACCATATAACTTTCGTTGGGACAACGGGACACAAAGTTGAAATATGGGACGTGTGGTCAACCTCAGGAACGTACATAAAGAGGTGTTTCGGGTGTTTAAAAACCCTACGAAATATTTGATTTTTTTTTTTTGTATGGACATATATTATTCGATATTCCATTTTAATATTGTATTATTTTTCTAATTTTCAATAACTGATTTTCAAAAACACCCACCAAAACGTTTTTCTACGTACATCAATCTACTGTATAACATTAAAAAAAATTAGTCATTGTGGCAAATAATACATGTTACCAACAAGCGTGTTTTGCCGTTGTGACCGTGAGTAACTGATAACGTTTTTACCAGTTAATTACTGTAACAGCTGGCTATTCTTCCCAGTAAAGTTTAGTGAATTTTGTAACAGTCTATTTCGAGTTGATAAGAGGGTATACTGTTGTTTGGTCACTAGTTCGACGAAGATAAAGAAGTGTGAATCGTGTAATGAATAATAATATATTTTAATTTAATCAAATACGCGACACGCGTATTAAGTATAGTTGTTTATAGTTTTTGTACTCGTTGACGATTTTATAGTTACAATGGAATTGATTTCGCTGTTTATTTTTCCAAAATATTCTGGCGATTTTCGAGCTGTTGAGCTATTTTGGGCATTTGACATTTTCAATTTTTTTTTCGATTCTGGACGAATCGAGGAATACATTGATTTTACAATGGTGTTCATTATTATTGTTTTTTTTTATTTGTAAACAACTTTTCTACCAGAAATCTTGCTCCAATTATCAAGTGTAGTAGAAAGAAAATTTTATCTGGATGATACAATGAGAAGGTTATTTTTTGATTTTCTATGTGGTTTTCATAATAATTGGGGAAAAAAGGGGAAATTTTTGAAATTTATTATGTTCAGTTTTGTTTTTATTGTGATCAAGTTAAAAATATTTATAGAGACTTGAAATTTAGACAAAAATCTTATATTTGCTAAGTTATAGGTGATTTATTTATCAAACCAATGTTCACGAACGTGAGACAACAGAACAGACTGATTGTGACCAAGTCTTGTTTACAGCGTAGACATACACAAAAACGGTTAATATCACAATTTAGTGCAATCGTTGTAGATCGAATTCTGGTTTCCTATTTATCCCAGTTATCCTCACCTTCCGTGGGTATGCCCATCGATCGATAGCAAAATCGTTTTCGACTAATATGTTAGTTACCTATTAGTAATCTACACGACATACGTACTTGTGAAAATCTGACAACGTTGTATACAATATTTATTTTTTTTATCGTGCTCAACCGGGTCGTCAAAAAAGTCGGCCGACAACGACCGTGCTCAATCGAGTCGTATCACTCGACAGTACATAGCAATCAGTGATGAATATACGAGAAGCAATTATCATTATCTATGAGATATGACTCCTATTGAAGCGTCGTGACTGTGACTGCTTTCCTGGAATCAATATACTCATGGTACGTGCGGTGCACCGAGTTTACGCGATTTACCGAAAATCATTTTTCTTACTGAAATCAACGTATGAAACAACAGTGCATTATAAATGTAACTAAGTATAGCGCACGCTTATGTATACAAAATGCAATATTTGTACCGGTATCCGAGCCCGGATTAAGGGTGTGGGGGACAAGAAGGAGGGGGGGTTGGATGGAAAAGGTTCTTCGTTTGTGTATACAATATGTTCAGTGAAACAGAATTGCAATGAAAAGAAATAACTCCACATTCCTAGCAGATGATGGCAGGACGACTCACCTCAGACTAGACGTTTTTAATCTGGCTTTGCACCCAGAAACAAATCGATAAATAAACAAATAATAATAAAATTAAATTAAAATGGTTGATACTGTTGATGGCTATATCGCTGTTTTAGGAGCAAAGTCTAAATGGAAAATATACGGTAGTGTAATTTACTGTAGTACCTATAAGTATTTGGTCTAAAAACACTGGGGATTGGCCAACACCACCGTTTTTACCGTTATCCGAAATTTGTTCGGTACACGCTACCGATATAAAACCGATACCCGATATTCGATATTCGAAATCGAAACCGATGAGTTTATAATGAAATTAACCAATATATTAATACTTTTTTCATAGTCTACAGACGTAGGCAATAGACATTTTTCTTCGATATTCATAAAATCGATATCAAATATTGGCTCCCGTCTCAAAAAACACATCATAATACAATCGTACACAAAACCAATACATTATTCGCTTCACTCTCACTATAATCAATAATGATTTCGTTTTAGATTATAAACTGCGACTATTTACGATTCTTTATCAAGAGAAAAATATTTAGTTTAAATTAACGGATATAATGTATAGTGCAGATTTTCATTTAGATTTAATGTTTAATATAATATTAACATTTACGTAGTCGAATTAGTGATTCGCTAAGTAAATAGCAACGCAAAAGTACAGGATCGTATTGTTTGGAAAATATATAATAAAGTTCCCGACGACAGGGGCAATTATATTTTCGAAAAAATATAACCGCGCACAGTATTCTTTTAGGGGATCCAGAACTTTTGTATACATATTTAAAGGAAGCGATAATACGTCCGAATGATATCATCAAATTCGTTTCGAGTTTGAGCGATTTCCGGTATTCCAGGTTATACAACGAACGATAAAATATAATGGGCGTGATGTACAAAAACCACGATGTCTAGCATGTTCACATTTTAATAACGAGAAAAAGTCACAACTGTTCAAAGTTTTGTGGTAAATTATTCATACATTTTTGTAGAGTTTTTTTTAGATTTCTATTATGGGTAAAGGCGACTGATAAGAGTTTTTTTATTTTTAATTTTGAACCCGCCAATTCATAAACGTACCGTGTATACTTACCATAGAGTTAAGTTTAAGATTTTCTTTTTCTTTTTTAAGTATACCGAAAAAACCATCGATTTGTATTCTTTATTTCGAAAATTTAATACGATTCGACGTTATTGCTATTTCAATTTATAATTTTATAATTTAATTTCTTAGGCAACCAGTCCGTAGTACATAGTAAACAATACGGATTACAACTAGTTAACAGCGTTACCTATTATTATATTATTTTAAAATTTTCTAAAACTCTTACGACTTTTAAAAATTAAAATTCAACAAAATTTTTAACACTCGAAAAACAGAACGTAAAATGACGACAAAATCGAATGGTGCTACAACTGGTTCTTGCTGCAGGGAAGATACGCAAATGGTGAGGTGTGCGATGATTGCATTAGAAAAGATGAGGGACATGTTCAAAACGGCGTTATGTAGTCCCGATGACTATTCGCCTACACGACCGACCGCCGCCTCGGGTTGTGCATTGAACACAAATTGCGCAATAAAAGGATGTCCGTTCCGCGGTACTGGAGTGCCAAACGTTAGTTGATATATATTAATTACCGCCCATCATCGTCGTACAATTACGATCTTGATGACCTTTGTGTTTAATTGCCTTGTTTGCATGCGCTATGTCAACTACAATACTGATCTACTACCTACCAATCTATACTAATCCCTAGTTAAATATTTGTTTCGCAGTACAAAGGCTAAAAATACTGTACCTATAATTTCTATTTTGCATTTGTTCCGTTATAGTATTTATAAGATCATATTTTGGAGTGTTTTGGACACATTTTTCTTCTAGGCCATCGTTTCTAATCATCGCCTTCTTAATATTTTTCCTATAGGCGAGGGCGTCTATCTTCGAAAATCCAGGGGGGGGAGGATTATCTGTCCGTATTCCTATTTCCTACAGCAGTATTAATCGTAACTACCTATATAATGATTATCTATAAAATAACTAAGTGTGTGTATAGGTAGTTTAATTTCTAGCGAAACACATAAAATATACCTGAAACATGAACATTGTACTTAATTATTTAACTAATAAAATGAGACGTATTAAAAGTTCAATCAGTTGGATTAAATCTTAAAACAAGACTGCAAATTACGATTATGTGTTGAAAATTGGTCAACGACATTTCGAATTAAATTTAAATCTTGAATTGTCTGTCTAGGTATGTATACTAAGCATACATAATCCAATTAGTGTGTTGTAGGTGGCATGACCGTGCAAACGATGATACATTTGTTTAGTTGACGGAAATGTAATAGATTAAATATAATATAATATGTGCGGATAACAAATAATAACTAATCGTTCACTTCTATAGATTCTACTATTGATTATAATTAAGTATTTACATTAAGTATTTATAAATCAACGATTCTACCAATTCGTAACCGCTTATGTTGTTTTTATTTTTCAATTGTGTCGTCAACGACCGATGGGAACATCTAGTGAAAATAATCCTACCATATAATAATATGTATGATCATCAATTTTTCATTTGTCCGATGTATTTAATATAAATTATAATATTTTATGCATAAATGTATAACAGACACGGAAAATCCGGGGGGAACGTCATGTGGGGTCATCCCTCCTTGCCCTCCCTCCAATGGACGCCCATGCTCATAAGCTATAAACGGAATGGGCGTTTATTTAAAAAGATAGCTCTTTTTAGGTTCCTCCCTGCTTTCTCAATGACCTTCCACTGCTACATAGATCATATCCGATCTCTTGTCGACGTTTCTCAATTTTTTTTTGCTTCTCATGGCTCTTTTACGAGAGAGTCCTCTTAATAGCCTCTTACTGACGAATAGAGTTGCCATATACTAATGAGTTTATTCTATAATTGACGCAAATCGTCATTCGTTTTACATTAACACCTGTCTCTTTCTAAATTATGATGAATTCCAATAAAAACGATAATTTATCATCGCAGGTGTTGGACAAAATCTGCATTAAGAGCCGACCACCGGCGATAAAGACAAAACAGAATAAATTGAAACTGAGATCCGGCGAGGTGGGCATGAATGACAACCGGGTAACGTTCCATTTAGGTCAGAGCTTGAATCAACCAGAATCGACCAATGATAACTATCCGACCAGCCCCACGTACTTCAATGTGCAGCCCATGCATCCACCTGTGTCGGCAATGGCTCTCTCCCGTGGCGTAGACCTGCCGAAGCAACGGAAAAACATGATGAAGGTGCAGTCCTCGTTACCGCAGCCCACGGACCAGGTCGTCGGAATGGTTACGGGGTTGCCGATCGCTAAAACAGAGGACGTATTTTTCATAGAGGTGGCAAAGCAGTACAACAATGAAAGAAAGGTACTGCAGATGGAGGTTCGTCTGCCCAAGCAAGTAGGTCCAGTCATGGTAGATGCCTTCACACAGTATGAAGAATCAGATTTCGAGTCCAACGTCGTAGTCGGAAATGGCGAAAAAGGCGGAAAAGGCGGAAAAGGAAAAAAAGGGAAAAAATGATAATTTACATTTATTACAGTTCATTGTAATATTTGTGTAAGAGATGAGATGTCCAACTGCACCGGTATATGGGAGGAGGAAATATTCTATGTTATTCTTATGTCTACGATTAAAATGCGCAAAGGGAGGTAAATATATCCTATGTAACTCGTACGTCCAAAATTGAATACGTTAAAAAGGCTTAAGTAAATCCCATATTATTCTTATTTCCCCGCTAAAAACCTATCGCGGTAGGTAAATTTATATATTCTATACTTAGACAAAAGAGACAATTATTTATAACTAAAAGTGTGCCAGTTATTAAAAATAATTAACTTTATTAATCTACTATTGATCAACTAAAGTGATCATTTATGGGTGGCTGAGTGTGCGATGGCACTACTAACCTAATAGTTTTAAATCTTAAATTAATAATTGTCCCTTCAATGATTCTCTAGTTTGATTTCGTATTCCTATTTGAAAAAGTTATCAAATAAAATATGCATAGTAAATGTATGTATACCATTTTATACTCGTATATACATTTTACTTACATGTTTATTTTTGATTTTTAATTTTTATCAGATTTTTTATCAAATGTAATTGTATGTAGGTACAACCGAATAATTTTGAACGTATATTAAAATTTCAAAAAAAATTAATTAAATCATTTGTCTACAACGGGCATACGTAAACTGCTCTCAAACGATCTTGTTTTGTTGTGAACTGCGCCCGAATTTTTAAATATATTTAATAGTTAAAATGTAAACTGCGTCCCGTTTATAAATATACAACTTTTAAATTATGAAATCATATTTATGCAAATTGCGTCAATTTTTCGAAAAAAGTGGATATCTCAATTCTGTATAATATGCTTGTTATGCACGTCTCTCAGTTTTCGTGCGTTTTTTTTTTTATTATTTAATGTTATTTAAAAAAATTGATGTTTACTTATATTCCCTATTCTTTGCTATCGGCTATTAATTTAACGATCCGTAGCATATTAATAAATCTTTGTCGTACTAACATTACCTATAATATAACCACTAATGCATGCGAGTCACTCCATGCTCATTTGAATTCTTCTTTTTAAAAGACTCATTCAAATATTTTTATTTTTATAGAAAATTTAAAAGAGATTTAAATAGAAATGTACCTGTACATGTAATTAAATTGTACACAAAAATATAAACCTTTTAAATTTAAAAACTCTAAAACAAAAAAAAACGTGAGAAAGACACAAAATGTAATTAATAAATATAATAGTGGTGAAATTCCGATTGGCAAATGTTTATCAGAAATATAATATCACTTGTCATAAAATTGTTAATTTTATTTTAATTTAATCTATTAATTGTTCATGTAACGAACCAAACATTAATACTGGTAATTATTTATAATATGGCTGTAACGAACTGTGTACCTATAAATTAGAGATTATTTTGCAATTTCGTTTATTTTTATTTTACTCGGGCGCAGTTCACATGCGTGATTTTGTGATTGCCTGTACTATGGGCGCAGTTTATAACCGCCGTCTTCATCAACTAGTACATCTAACTTTTTTTCCACAATGAAAACTAAACATTCAGCTATTAAATGTAATAACTGAAATAATCACTTAATAATTGATTTATTAATTTTTATTCTCACTTGGTGTATGTTAATAATAATCATAATTGTTCATTCATATTAACGTATGCAATTACCTATATACAAAATTATTCAATTTTTCAATGCTATGTATTACACTCAACTTGTTTATATGAATACCGAATAAAACATACTAGTAAATAGGATTAAGGACTTGCATTCTAGCATTTTTATTATATTTTTGAAATATTAAAAAAAAAAAACAAATATTTATAGGTACTGTTCATCAGTTCGTCATGCAAAGAATCTGAATCCTAAATTGTATTTTGCATAAATATGCATATTTTAGAATTTAGAGCATATTTATACGTTTTTTAGAGGTAGAAGTCCTTAAGCTTACTAATTACATTTCTATAATAAAGGAATATTTACCTCTCCCGGTGTACTTTACCGTGGATTTAAAAATAATACAGAATACATTTACCGCCTTCAGTGTTTTTATTCATGGACGTAATAATAACATTGGGTATATTTACTTCCCATTAGGTATACATTTTTACCAGGGAGATAAGAATAATACAGGATATATTCACCCCTTTTTAACGTATATAATCGTAGACGTAGTTATAACCTAGGACATATTTACCTCCCTACATTGCATTTTAATGGTGAACCAAATAATAACGTATAAGCTATATTTACCCCTCCCCCTCTCTCTCTCTCTCACTCACATTGCACTTTAATTATGGCCGTAAGAATAACATAGGATACATTTAAATATAAATAAAATAAAATAAAATGTCTTACAAAAATATACAAATAATGAAATATAAGTACATACACAGAATAATTCACGAAGTGTGTTCAGCACATTTCAGATTTTAAGTGGAGCGAAAAAGTTTATGGTTTTACAATGATGTTTATTATTATTTTATTTTATCTGTAAATAACTATTCTATCAGATATATTGTTTCGATTTACAAGTGTAGCACTCTTTCTGAAAGTTAATCTGACTGGAATGATGTTCCGCTATAAGGAGGTCCTTTTTTAGTTTTTTTCAAGAGTTTTCTCAATATATTGGAAAAACGGGAGAATGGGAAAATAAATACAATATTAAACAAATATTATTAACGTTTAAAGCATATGCAATTATTTTACCATAGTGTAACACATATATTGTTGACAAAGCATCACTATCAACTGAACTCCGTTCAGAATCGTTTTTTCGTTAGCAATGGTTTATATTATTTAAAATAAATTTCCCCTCAATATCCTACGTTCCGAAATTCTCACCAATAACAGTAGCTGTACCTATCGTACGAAGTATGTGTGTCTTTTTTTTTTTTAATTAAATATAAAAAATTACTTACAGATATAATTGACAAATAACGAAACTTAACAGTACATAATATTTGTCTAAATGTCTAAAATAATGCGTAGTTAAGTTAAAATAATGATAATACAAGTACATGTTAACTACAATTCAATATTCGGTAATAGTTAATAAGTGGGCCAGTACTTGTGTATTTTGTCGGACCGAAATCTCTGTTTTCGTTAGGTTTCGCCATTTATTCTTAACAAAATGCACCAGTTGCCATCAACGTATAAAAATAGCTTACTCTAATAATGTAATATTATGTAATGTACTTTAGTATTGATTCTCACCTCCAACTCTAACCTAACCTAACCTAACAAGTGTATAAAATATTTTTACGTTATTTTATACCTTGAATTTTGAGTCTTCGCTTATGGTGATAAAAATACTCTCGGACGAATGTGATCACTATAAGCTGCAACCACTGTATTACTGTATTCGCTCTACAATTTTAATTAAAATGTAAATGAATTTTTAAATACAATATTTTAATCATCATTACAAAAATCATATTGTATACATTTTACTAGGTAAGTATTTTTTTATAATTTCAACACATTTTTTAAACATTTTTAAATTATTAATTTTACAAATTATATTATGATTCCATTATTAATATAGCCCTTGTATTACCTAATTAAATTTCGATCAGCATATCGTTTATAATTTATTCTTCAAACTGGCCATAAAAAAATTATACGATATTATTAATAAATACATAAATACCAAAATGTAATATGAAATTGATATTTTCCCCGAAAAAAATGAAACATTTATTGCACATAAATCTGTCAGTTTTTTCTATACTTTTTTTTCGGTTTTTACCAAATATTATGAAAACTACTCTGGAAGTCAAAATATGTACAAATTAATTCAAAAATTCTATAAAAAAAAAAAAGTTGTCATCTTTAGATTGGAGCAAATTTTTAGAAAAAATGTCGATAAATGTTTAAAATAAAGTACAATCAAGTGAAAATACGCATTTTTTTTAAGAAATAACAATACAAAATATTCATATTTTGATGAACCGAAAAAGTATTTTCCAAAAAAACAAAATAAAAAAGACGTCCTAGGATAATGGAGATGGATGCAGCCACTGTTGTAGATAATTTAATGTTACCTGTAAGCAACAATAAACCATTGCTCACGAAAAAACGATTCTGAGCGGAAATCAGTTAACAGTGATGATTTGTCAACAATAAATATTTCATTTTATGGTAAAATAATTAAATAGGCTTTATTTTCTCTAATAATATTTGTTTAATGTCGTACCGATTTTCTCAATTTTTGTATGTTTTTCCCGGTTATCCCGTGTTTTATCCCGGTTTTTTTTTATATTTGCTGAGAAAACTCCTGAGAAAATGAAAAAAATTACCTCTTTAAGGTACATCTCTAGTGATATTTCCTTTTAGAAACACTGCTATCAATATAAGTTTTTGCGAAATTTCTGGTAGAAAAGTTGGGAACAGAAAAAAAAACGTCTTTGTAAAACTATAAGCTTTTTGTTCCACTCAGAATCTAAAAGTATATAAAAGTATATAAATATATAAACTTCAGTGATCGGAAGAAAACTAGGGTATTCAATGTGGTTTGGTCGTTCGCGAAAACTACGTTGCATTAAGTTATATATAAATAATTGTGTAGTTTATAATAGAGTGTAACATTTTATACCTGTACTCAAATAAATTAAATCAATTTCATTGATCCTTTTCTTTTTATGTATGTTATTGCTTAAGTCAACACATAACTCTAACTCTTAATTAAATCTGTGTCGGAAATATTTAGTCAAACATTTTATTGGGAATGAGGAGAATTTAGAGAAGGTTAAAACCACCTAACCCTTCCCACTTCGTCTACGACACTGTTGTCTTTCCCGTCTATACACCAATATCATGCCTTATTATACAGAACAAATTACATAGATTGCATGTGAGTATTTTTATGCTAATTATATATGTATACCTTACCTGACCTATATGATATTTGTAGAGAAACTGTTTGAAAAGTCCAAATGGGTGAGGAGGGACTGCGTGAATGACGTCTGCATAAACTAAAT